GCAGAAAATGTGCTTTCTGACATGGTGACAAAAGAAATTTCTTTTGGTGGTCCACAATCCACTGCAATAGTGGCTAAGTCAGGTAAAGCCATTTCTGATGCTTCAAGCAGCCAAAATACAGAAATATTTCTAAAAGAAAAGAAGGAAATTTTACAAACAGCCACACCGCTAATGTCCACTTTATCAACCCCTCCCAAGCCAGGCAGACATTTAGAGAATCCTTTGTATTCTACTTCAACAAATAAAAATATTATACAGAAGGGAAACTCTGAAAACTGCCGTCAGCCCCCTAAAGTGAACACCAATAAAAATCTGAACAGTGTACTCCTCCACCCAGGAAAGAAGAGTTCCCTTGGAAGGAACAGTAACACAGAGCGTGCTGACGTGCCGCTTCCTCCCGCAGAAGACACGTACAGGGATAGTACCGAAGCCAAACAGAGAGTAAATTTCCTACACCAAACCACCCCTCTGTATAAGAATATTAAATGTAGTGGACTGCAATTAAGGGCTCACAGTTCAAGAAAAAATGCAAATGATTTAAACTCTTGTACCAAAGTGCTTTCAGAGTCTCAGAACAAAGCATCTGAGGTAAGCACAGCTTCCAGTGCTGATCCATTACTTCAGCTAGACAAAGTGGTTAGCACAGATACAGATGAATTAAAGAATTCAAAAATTAAAAAAGAGCAAAACTCGCAGAGTACTCGGATGGGTAAAGATTATAGTGGCTTGCAGGAATCAGCGAGGCACAGTGAAGGCAGCCTGAAAATTAACTGTAAAGATGAAGTCCTCAGGATTACACAAGATCAGAAGATAACACAGAGTGCAGAAGACGAGAACAAGCTTCTCTCTGACTGCACAAGAGACAAAGTCAAAGATATAGAAAAAAGGAAAAACAGACCTTCAATTAAAAATAAACTGGCAGCTGTTTACAAAACAAGTCGAAAATTTTCAAGTAAAAATTTACCCCCCAAACCGCACATAGGTAACATTTTTTCACAGAACGATGGAAGTGCCACTTCTTCAGAGGTTGACATGTCCCTTGACTCATTGATTTCAGTGGATTCCCATCAGCCATTCCTGCAGTCGGACAATGAAAATCGGAATCACAGTCTGGGCCCTGATAAGAATACGCCAAGACCAAGAACAGCTAAGAATAAGAAGACTGAAGATCAGAATGATCCTTCTTTGCTTGATAATAACACCAACTGGAGGTCTTTTACAAGCTCATACACACAGAAGGAAGCCATCAGTCCCAAAAAACCTACAGTGAAAATGGAAAATAGGCCAAGTCTTACAACTTTATTTCCAGATAAAACAGTAACCACAAGAAATAAGAATTCCCAAGCACTTGACCTCAGGTTAGAAAGCAAAAGCCAATCCATCTCTCGCAGTGCTACTACATCAGACCCACTGGATGATGAGAAAAGAAGAGCTAGCAGTCATGCCTGCAGTCCTCCCTTGCCACTTTTAACTGACAAAAACTCAAACACATATGTCAATAGCTGCTTGCAGACAGACGTATGTCCAGAGCAAAATTTGACTTCCCAGACAGTGCTCGGTCAGCGTAAAAATACCTCTCAGTCTGCTAGCTTAAAAAATGCTAACTTGCATAGCTATCAGTTGCGCAAGAGTCATGCCAAAAGTCAGCGTGAGCGTCACCTTTCTGAGAGTATTTGTGCTCGAGATTCCCATGAGACGTTTGCCTCGGGAAGCAATATTCTACCAAAAGATGGTATACATGGGAAGAGATTTAAATCTTACTCGGAGCTGTTGTCTTGTGATGAAAATGAAAACTGGGCATCGGATGATGAAAAATGTTACAGCACTAGAAATTTGATGTATCCTTCTGTTGAATTTGGTATATTTGGCAAAGAACAACAGCTGGCA